TAAAAATACTGAAAGGAATAGCATTTAAAATCAAGTCTATTACTGCTTTCTAAAAATCCTTTCAACATGCAGTTCTTTTCTTATTAAACGATGTAAATGGTGTTAATATTACCTCTTTTGGTCAGTAATAAAATACTTACCATACTGTACATAATTATGTAGCAAATGCAGCGTTAGTAAAGCTGCCTTTTTGTTCGAAACCTTAAAACAAAAAAAAAACTGTACATTTACAAACTGTATTGTTCTAGCTAAGTAAACTAAACGATGTAAGTGGTCTTAACTATCATATTGTACTGTAAGTATTGTGCATTTATAGCACTATTTTCCTATTTTTATTTCGTTTAGTTTTTTCCTATTTTTATTTCGTTTAGTTTTTTCCTATGCATCACTACTAACTAACCAACCTATGACTCATCTCCTTCATTTCTTTTCCTCCATTATGACCATCTCAGCTTATTTCATTCGAACCTTTCTTCTAATTATCATTAAATTATCTAATTATCATTAAATTTCTTCATAATAAGTTATCATTAAAATAAAGAAACTGAACGAGCACACTGGCATAGCTCTCACCTTCGCTAATAAAGTCCAAGATCCAGCTGGGGGAGACGGAAACCCTTATTTCACGGAAGCGCTTGAACTTCGGCAAAAAGCAATCCATTCATTTTTCAAAGAGCGGAGATTGGCCCGAAATTTCTCCAATCCCTATGTATAGTGCCCACTGGATATCATGGCAAGAATCATAAACTTCCCAACTGTGCAGACTGGCTACCTAAACTCTTGATAGCCCATTGAAACGCCGCAAAAAGCTGAAAGGAGCCATCAACTTGTTCAACTTGATGAACAAGTCCCGATTATCAGGTGTACCATGGGAAGCATCCTTTAACCCCTGGTGGAGGTGAAATCCTGATAACCGAAGACGAAAAAGAGTCGATTTTTAACAGAACATGGGAGATTATCAAGGTAGTCATAACAATACCTAGAATTGTCACCTTTTTGGGTTACTGCGGCTCTAAAGTGAAACAGAGGTTGCTTTGATGAAAGAAATAAACTTATATCATAACAGGAGTTATTTGAGTAACGTCACCCAGTCTTTCACTCCTGTATATGACTATCCTAAGTACTACAAGAGTAAGGGAAATTTTTAAAATTGTTTTCTTCAATTTTTAAAGTTTTTGGTAGAAACAGACTGGGATAATAAATTTCGGTACTGCAAGAAGAAAACTAGGCCAGTCAGACTAAATAAATCTTTAACTAGTGTCTAAAATTCGAAGTGAATTAAGAATGATATTGTGAAAGCAATCTATGAACGAGGCACATGCATGTTCCACGATTTAAGTGCGAAGATCGCAGAGCGTCACAAAATAAATATTATATGTCTTTAGTGTGTCTTACACATAGTCCCTCTTAAATTCATGCCAATTGTACTTGCATCCTGTCATTCCTCGTGGAGAAAGATTTTTTCACTGATCAGGGACCGCGGAGGGGGGAGGGGGCTGGTGGGGCCTTTGTCGCACCACTTTTTTTGCTCCCCCTCCCCCACTTTTTGCGCTAAAAGAAAAAAAATTAAGAATTTCGGTATCTTCACTAATGCCGACCTATAAAGAGCAACAAATACTGGATAAAGTATGCAAAGTCACGCGATAGAAACAAATGAAATACTATGATTTTATTCCTTTGTGACGCAGACCATGATCCCAGAAACTCATGACCTTTTGAGGCGGCTCAACTCAACACTGCTCTATTCTTTAAATGAAGATACATTAACTTCAAACAAAACAGCAAATCTTAATAGAAAGCTGGAAAGAGGTCGCCACCCTCATTTGTTTCCACAGTAGGCAATTAAGAGCATGCATGCATCTCACTGGCTTGGAATGCTTCAGTTGGATCAAAGCAGATTATAAAGCATTTATCATCTCCTTTGGTATTTCATCCGCAGAAACGAAAAGTACCATGGCTCACTGATGCTGAGCTCAAATGAAACCTCTAAAGGAATCAGTATCATCGATATCTCTCGCAATAAATACGATGTTAACGATGTGACCAAGACATTTAAAAGTTATATCTTAATCAGTTTTCTTTTGTGTACTTCTAATTTTATTTTTGAAAATACAAAAAAACAAAAAAAACATTCTCTATGTACGCGGGCTAGTCTAAACACACTTTCATTGTTTTCATGTGAAATTTGTGTTTCCGTTCGGAAGACAACGGTCTCGAGCGAAATTTGAAACGTGCCCCTATGAGAAGGTTTAATACCTCCGTGTAGGAAACATGGAAAAAGAGGTCCAGTCGGCACAAGGTTGCATGTAACTTATAAGTTTGTCAGAAATGTAAGGCGCTAACATTTCTTTCTTCTGGAAGAAGATTTTTGTCGTGACCCTGACTCAGCTTTTCACACAGAACAGCTCAAAACGACACGAAACAGGAATACAGCGCTGGCCATAAGAAAAACAAAACACAAACATGACACAAAAACGCACAAACAATCAAAAGCTACAACTGAGAAAGAAAAGAAGAGCTAAACTTTATTTCCAATAGTACTGTCTGCCAGTTGCGCGATTAAATGACTGCGTGATTGAACTACGTGCAGGATTTCTGCGAAACGACGGAAGACAGAGTGAATAACAGCAGATTTTAGTATCCAACTACACTTCGTAGAGTACAAGTAACGCCATAGACGAGTATAAATATCACGCGGTATTTGTACTCTAGAGTACCCGTAAATAAATATCCGCGAAATTCGCCCGCACTGAAATAACAATTTGGCGTGTTAGATAACAAATAACCTATTATTCGTTTTGTTGTGTAGTATCGCTGAGTATTTTTACTCGTTATTTGTATTTTGACTCGCCCTACGGGCTCGTAAAAGTACGGCACAACTCCTAAAAATACTCAGCCATACTACACAACAAAAGGTCTAATAAGATATATGTATTACGGTCATCATGGGGCCCCACAACAAAACAAGAGCAAAGATAAACTCCACTGGTTAAAATAACAAGGATCCCTTGTCCAATTCTGGGAAAGCAACGGTAAGATCAAAGAAGATCATATGACACTTTAGAGTAAGAAAATCGACGAACATGGCTGCAAGCACACCTTCCTCTGTAGCTGACCTAAAAGCTCTCAAGAGTTACGTCTCTAATTTATTTCGTGGATACTACAAAAGAGATATTTATATTCTAGTCGCAGGCAGATTTGGTGTTGGGAAATCAAGTCTTTTCTATGCTATAGTGGGGAAACCTGTGTCTTTACAAGATGGTCGTTCTAAGTGCCAGAATTCGAAGTGTGACATAGATTTCAGTGATCTCATTGAAGGTTTTGCCGTCCAAGTATGTGATTCGCCTGGTCTGCAAGGTGGCGAAAAGAAAGACGACTTGTACCTCGCAGATATACAACAGGAAGCGAGAGAAATCGATCTTATGATTTACTGTGTAAAGATGGATGACGCATGCTTTTACCAAGCTGACAAAATGGCCATAAAAAAGCTAACAGAAACGTTTGGGAAGAAACTGTGGGAACACTCGGCGATAGCTCTGATCTTTGCTGACAAAGTTGAGGATCCGATTGGAGGGGACCAGCAGACCTATTTTACGGAACAAAGGCTGATAGTTTCGAGGAAGGGCTAACGCTCGAAACGTCAGCTTTTATAATCGTAACGGTGGCCAATTTACCATTTCAACTTTGTTGATATATTGAAATTATTTCAACAATAGAGTGTTTCTGTCTACGAACTTTCGGCTCATAGTTGCCCCGCGCAAATTTGATGTTCTTAAAACAAATATTTGCCGAGAAGCGAAGGATCGAGGCCAAATATGCTGGTTTTAAGAACATCAAATTTCCAAGGGGCAGCTATCAGACCTTTATAGTTCACCACCAAATTTTCTCCGATTCTTATTGGTTTAAACTGATCACGTGACGCGATAGTGTTCATCCGTGGAGAGGCACTATCGGCCCTTATAGTTCACCACTAAATTGATCACGTGACGCGATGGTGTTTATCTGTGGAGAGACACTATCAGCCCATAGTGCCCGTCCGCGGAAAATACCCGGATGGATAGTGCCCGTCTGCGGAAAATACCCGGATGGAAAGTACTCATCCGTGAAAAATTTTGAATGGTTTGACGGCCGCGAAGCTAGGCAGATCGGAAAAACAGTGACTTTTCAATTCTGACAGGTATAACGTATTATTTAGCCAATGTACGGTTGCGAATTATTGACATTTGTGACAGGCTGTACGCATGAATAAATATTTGATTGATCTGCATTTAGTGGGTTTTGACTGTTTTTCAACTGGCGCGCGGAAGAAAATTTAGTGGTGAACAATAAAGACAATAGAGTGTTTATGTCTCGGAACTATCGGTCTGATAGTTGCCCCTTGGAAATTTGATGTTCTTAAAACTAGCATATTTGCCCTCGAAGCTTCGCTTCTCGGGAAAATATTTGTTTTAAGAACATCAAATTTCCGCGGGGCAACTATCAGCCG